AGCCCCCCCCCCCTTCTGATAGTCCGGCATATTTGATAATCCGGCACCCCCTGGGTCCTAAAGGTGCCGGATTATCGGAAGTTTACTGTAATTTCCCTAATGATCAAAAACACTGTTATGCACAAATGTATCTATTATTAAAACTGAGTCTTTAGAAACTCACTTGCATTAATTATTAGAGGCTTGTATACAACTGCTTTTAGCCATTTTACCCTTCCACTAATGTTTTAATGCTTTTAAGAAGATTACATAGTCAAGGAGAAAATACATGTAGCCAAGGACAAAACAATGTCTGAAGCTGAGCTTAAGGTTTGCCTTTCAGGCCTATGCACATTTCACAATCTGGTGGTAGCCTCAACACTTTAGCAGATTAGAGTGAGGGGGTGGAGGTCTGAAGTAAACACAGAGTATTTCATCAGATTTATTGTCCTGATCTCTTCCAAGGTCACAGGTATTTTCAGAATGACACTTCTTTAAAAAAATGGCGATTGAAGCTGTAGCACTTTTGAAGGATGAAATGTCAACAATTTGTTTCAAACAGATGGGGGATAAAATCGGTAGCATTCAAATAGAAATATGGGGTGGAGGTTAAGTTAGTCAACTTCACAGCCTCGTGTAGGATCCCAGATCATCAAAATTCTAGAATACAGGACTGTAATAGTGTAAAGTACTACTGGAATGTGCATCCAAACTGCCTAATATTAGCTAAAACATCGCATCCAGAATACACTGAGCCTTATGTATAATCTCTGATATATGTATTTATTGATGAATGGATCGACTCCTGTGCAGTGCAATGTCACTTCTGTTATTCCAAAATTCAGATTAAAGGACAGACAGGGGAACTTAAGCAGTACACAGTGTCACTTTGTGATAACCCTCTGCACAATGTGTCAATCAGCATGCTCTTCTGGAGATCTGTGACTTCTCTGTGTGTTCTACTGAACCCAATGATATTTCAAAATCAGAAGTATTTAAAATATTTATTAAGTATTAATCACTGTAGGGTAAATAAAAACAACACTACTTTTAAGGAAAAAATCTTATTAGATATTATACAATTAATATGTAAACAGAAGATAAAGTATTAACAGATTGCAGCATCCCATACATACAGCAAGTGGGTCCAGCCCAGTAAAAGCCCTTACATAAACAGAGTAGTACTTAGCACACAACTTACACTTGACATTTGGTCACTGGATCTGGTTTAAATAACCAAGAGTATGATAGTAAAATATATAATCAAGGTCTGATTATGAATCAGAGTGCTTTCACATACAAGGTATCTAGTCATGTTAACTGCCACATAAACTGGAGAGCAACATAAAGTAGGGAACTAATGATGGGTGGGTTTTGTTGTTACAATGCAGCACTTCAGACTGACCTTTTGTACCATGAATAAAAATAATCAGCTAATTAATCTAATTTCTGAGGGTATCACTTTTGCACCTACTGGTGCCAGTTAATGGATCTTAATTGGTTCTCCAGATTTCTTTGTCCTGCGTGGCAAACTTATATTCTGAAATATGCCATTTAATGCTTTAAAATGGCAAGTCAACAATGTACCTACATAGATCACCCTCTTATTGCTACCTTCTATCTTGCACCGTAAATTCATTCAGGTGCAATGATCACTAATGAAAAAGATATTTACAAGATAAAATATGACATATATGTGAACCAGACATAGCCAGTGAAAAAAGTACTACACGTCACTCTAACAAAATATAAAACTATCTTTCTATCTCTACACATCCACACGCAGCATATATGAAACTATTCCTTAATACAATTTTTCTAAAGTAACGAATTCATGACATACCAGAAAACGTGTCACCTGCAACTGGATGGTCACAGTCTTGAGTTACGGTGCATACAAAGATTCCATATAATATACCCAATTTGCAGCTTGTGCTTTAGCCCACCTATGTGTTGATCTGCTAAAGCCAATCTCTTGACATGTCCAGTCTAGCTGGCTCACACAGAGGTGCTGCATTATTATCAGAGCAGATTAGTTATAGATTCTGATCTTCTGTATCATAGGATTTTTTCTGTTAGTTTTTTGAACCAGCCAGGGTTTTTAACTACAATTGGCAAGAGTTATGGTTGTGGTGAGATTTATGGCTCTGAGGTAATTTTTGGTATTCTGTAATTTTTCTGAGTATTTAAAAAGAATGGCAATATTTTGCAAACAAAAAAGGCAACCACAGAAAGCTGCCATCGTAATTTATCAAATATGCTCCTAAACCAAGCCATACATCATTCCAAAAAATACAGAATAAAGCTGCTTTACAAAACTTGAAAAAACACTGGCTGTGAGGAATAATAATTGGAGACTACTCTTGCATCGAAGAAAACCATAGCTACCCTGTATATTATTACAGTGACCTTATTTTCTTATCTGTGACTTCACTATTCCTTCGCAGCCCAAATTCTGGAACGGTATTCAATTAAAAATTGTACTGATGTAGGCATTTTGATTAAATATAAACAGAACAAGGACTTCAGGATTTGGCCCTCTGAAATGTAAAAGTATCGAATGTAAACCTACTTTGGAAATATTAAAATTTTGAAAGTTTGTATCAGCCAGAAAGCTGTCTCTACAATTTCTGATTTCAACCTATTTAACATAACACTGAGATCTGTATCTGATCCACATATAACCCAATGTAGCTGTGAAAGCTGGTTACGGACTTTAATACAGAATCTATAGCAAACAGATTGGCATCATCTGCCAGTTGTTATTTAAGTCTGAGATTAAAAGTCAACTGCAAAATTGCCTGAAGAAGTTTACAGCCATCTCAAGCAGATTTTAATGGGTTTTGAGACATCATGTGAAATTGAAGTTGGCCACATTTAGGTTTATGAAAACAAGTTAAAATCAGCTTTATGCATGACTAATATAAAATGCATACTACAAAACCAATAAACATTTTATTTAAAAAAATGAACACTTGTAAATAGCCTTGCCATCTTTTTCTAATACATAGCTAGCTGTAGACTCTGCCTTTTTACACTTAGTAAGCTGGGCTGCCTGTAGCAATATGAACATTAGTCCCTTAAGTAATATTAATTGGTGTTGTTGATCAGTTGATTATTTCTTTAGCCCAGTAAATAAGTTAGCACTACAATGACTAAGGGCCTGATCCAAGTTCCACTGAAGCCAATGGAAAAAGTCCCCTTGACTTTCGGATCAAGCCCTAAATAGCCAATACTATCTGACCACTGCATTAACTCAGTAGCAGAACCAAGCTTTAAGCAATGGTAGAGCCAGGGAGTCTCTGCGGTGCCACTTTCAACTATGCCTGTTGGCTTAAAAAGGTGGCACACATAAACCTAAAAACTACTACATGATAGCAGTCATCCTCCCAGACTACCTCTGCCACTGCATTCTGCTTTTCTTTATAAGTATGCAGGTCCATCTACATTCAGCCTGTAATTGAGATATATTCTCTCTCCTCAGTTGGCAATAATTTTTCCCTTGGTGATTATTTTTCAACTAACTCCTCCACTGTTGTATGTAACAAATGTGCTAAAAGGTCAAATGTTCTAACAATCACAAATGTATCATGGTGTAGGATGAATTTGGGTTTTGATTTTGCAACTTAAATTTGTTACACTGCTTCAGCTCAACATTAAATTTAGTGGAGAAGAGAAAAAAATAATTTACCTACTCTATCAATCACAGAACCAATATGTTACAGATTGAACAGGCCCACGGTTTTAGGCCATCGTCCAATCACCTTGTCCGTAATTATAAATACTGCATTTTTCTCTGCACTGTATTTTGTCATGCTTTGATCAGTCTAGTTTTAAATGTCTCAGGCATTGTGTTTCATACCAATTCCCAATCACCTAAGGAAATAATTCCACAGTTGAACACACTGCATCTTTAGAAAAACTGTCATCATTTCTTTTCTTAATTTCATTCCCATCACCTCAAATTATACCGCACTCCCTTATGCCACTTTAGCAACAGGTGGCAAGATGCATCTGTTGACAGGACCATGGAGAGAGACGTAAAGGGATTTCTGCTGATTGTGGCAGATGTGACTCCATCTTGGAAATGAGGAAGTGGGATGAATCTTTGGGCAGAGAACACAGTGACCTATGACAGAAAATTATCTGCAAGAAAACCCAGGAACAGACAGGCTGAAGTTGGTGTTTGCCATTTTGTTGCAATTTATGTAAGACCTAAACCAGAAAGTGAGTACATTCTTTTTGGAGCAGGATGGAAGCTCCATCTGCTTACAACCACTCTAAACAATTCCTCTTCCACCATAGCAATTCCATCCTTCAGATACATGAAAACAATGGAAAGTATGTGTATCGTTTGACATTTTGCCAAGCTGTCCATCATGTGTTGGGCCAAATTCTGTCTGGTTCACAACCTGTAAAAACTGGGCTGTTCCAGTTTTAGATCCATTTTTCTAGTTCCTGATTTCAGTCCATTTCTTGATGATGACTAATCAAATCATCTGATAAAACTGCAACTCTAGAAAAGCAATGGAAAAGGAGCCTGGCTAAAAGCAAAACCAGAGAAGTATGCGGCCCAAAGTTCAGGTCTTAAATTGTATGTACATACTCCTCTAATGATCAGTTTAAAACATTACTGAGTCAACCCAGTCATGTAAGAGGAGAGATTTTATAGCAAATCTAAAGTTTCCATGTAAAAAGCCATTTTATTAAAAAATAACAACCAACCAAACAGTCATTGGTTTAAACCAGAGATTAGAATAAATTGACTCAAGAATTTTGGCAGTAATCTATGGAGGATTTTCCATCTAGTTTTTGCAAAATCTTTTCTGCGTCTGAACCTTGCATTATTATGTGCACGTTGTACTGAAATTACTGCTTTTAAAGCAAGGTGCCTTGCCAGTGAGGTTGTGAAGTCCTTTGCTCAATGCATAAGCAAATGGCATAAGCAAATGGCATTTTATTTTATTGTATTCAAGTAAACCAAAACTGGCCATATTAGGTCAGCAGCACCGTCTAGTTGTCTGTGTAGTCTGCTTTCCAAGTTTGATTGATCCATTGTTGCCATTTTCATGAGGGTCCAAGGGTGGAATTTGTCGACCTGAAAAATATGAAGAAAATACTGGATTCAATATTCTGATGTAACAAAACACACAGAGGTATTACTAAGAAATTGCTTAGTTTGCACTAAAACTATGTAAATCAGATTTTAATATGAAACAACTGTTTTTCACTTAGTTTGTTCCTTATTTCTGTAGTTTATATATTGGTATGTAAAAGGCAGCACTGTCACATATTAAAATACATATATACATTTGCAGTGCATATATTTATTATACCCCAGAGCTCTCTAAAGCAAAAGAGCATTTTAAACAAGCAAATGTGAGCCATAAACGGAAAGGAGAAACACAATAATTATTTGAATTGAATCCCTCCCTCTGTTTCTTACTCTCCTCAATCCCAACAGATGGTTTGGCTTGTCTAATAACGCTCAGCCTCCTGATTCTTATTTGATTAAAAAAAAGTGTCAGCCCTAATTGGGGTTCTAATGCAAGGCAAGAGCCTGCTGCTTCAGATCTGTCCCTGTATGCCTCTTCAGTTCTGCTGTGTCTTCTGTTTCATTGGCCACTACATATAGATGATACAGAATATGTCCTTTATATATGTTGCAACTAGCAAGCCTGGTCATTCAATGCAGGTATATCAGGAGTGACTCATGTGAAAACTTGAGTGTAGAATTAGGGAAAATAAGAACCTGCTGGCTCTCATGGTAGCAGGTAAGAATGAATGAGTTTGACCAGTGTATGGTGGCTCTGAGGCCTTGTCTACACTAGGTGTTGAGTTGAACTTAGCTGTATAAGCTCTATTTTCTAAAAGATGAATCCACACCACCAAGATTTCAGTATTCCTGCTTTTCACAAGAAAAACAGTACATTCAACCTTGCATGGTTGATTTTAGGGTAGTGCAGATGCAATGCTGTGAAAGTCAATGTTCTTGGCCTCCAGGAGATGAACGTCCAGATCATGAGCTCTAGCATGGAGCTGTAGCATGGAGCATACAGGAGATCCTGGATCTCATTTCTGTGTGGGGAGAGACATCTGTTCCTGCAGAACTATGAACCAGCAAAAGAAATGCTTATATCTAGGCCAAGACCACACATGGCATGGTGGGAAAAGGATAAACCAGGGATACCCAGCAGTGCCACGGGAAAATAAAGTAGCTCTGCAGACATATCAGAAGACAAAGGAGGCAAACAGATGGTTAGGGTCAGCATGGCAAACATGCCACTCCTATGAGCAGCTGCATGGGACTGCAGCGGGGGACCTGACCAGTGTCCCAATCTCATCCCTGGATTCCTTCCAAAAGAGTCTTCAGGCAACAATACCAGCCAACAACAGGGAGGGCAGTGTGGATGAGAAAGATGAGAATGGTCAATAAGCAAGCAGAGCATCCAATCTCACCGACAACCAGGACTCTTTTATAACTTTGGAGACAATCTCCTCTTCTTGGGGTGTATCGCTGCTGGGCGCTGAGGGTGGTGGAGGGCACTTCTGGTGAGTTCACATTTTTAATCATGGTACAAGTGGGTGTAGGCAGTTGAGTGTGATCTGTGGCAGCCGCTTTGCCTACATTGCAGGAGCTCCCCAGAACAGTTTGTTAATGTGTCTGGAGATGGAGCAGGAATCCTCCCAGCACATCTCCATAAGGCTCTCATAAAGGAACTCTTTCTTCCTCACAAGGTTCTTGGATAGGCCTGCCTTAGTCCATCCTCCACAGAAGGACCTTTCCATGCCAAGCCAACAGTAAGTGGTCTGACATAATTGCTGCACAAAGCATTGCAGCGTGAGGTCCTGGTTCCTGGGCACACTCAGTCAGCATCTGCTCCTTATCACTTTGCGATTAGGAGAAGAGATATTACTCATGGCAACCTAGATGAAGCAGGGAAGGTATATATGTAACTGATACCACTGGCAGTAACCTCTGTTTGCTTAGCCCCAATAAAGCATGGTTTGGGCCCCTGTCCTGCTCTGCTGCTATGCCCAACTCCTCCCGCCCACAGGCTCCTCAGTGTCCGTGTGAGCCACGCCCAAACCCCCTCTTGCCCACAGGATCCTGCGAAAGCTGCACTCTTCCAGCAAATGGAAAGTGCTGAACACACAGTCACCACCGGCGCCCCTGCCCTGCCTTGCTGCCACACGACTGTGCCTCCCCCCTTTGCAACGCAGATGCTTGCCTAGCTGTGGGAGTTACTATCTGCAAGTATTGTGTTGCACATGCTTTCAAAACAGAAGCAAAAGAGTGAGCCCTGACCTGTCCCTTATGAGGCTTGCTACCAAACCGAGTCCAGCTGCTCCCTTAAGATCTCTGTGCTGCACCTACTGTATCGTAGGTGCTTAAAAGTATAACTTTGTCCTTGAACATAATGCATTCCTGTTGTTTTAGGCAGACCTTCTTTTTATGCTAAGAGATTAGACTCTACATTCCACAATGTCCCTCTTATAGGGTGTGTCTAGACTACCTAGTTTTGTCGACAAAAGTGGACTTTTGTCGACAAAACAATACCAGCGTCTACACTACCGCGGAGTTCTGTCGACATAACGTCGACAGAACTCCGCGGTTTTGTCGACGCTGGTATACCTCATTTTACGAGGCAAAACACCTTCTGTCGACAGAAGGTGTTATTGCCTGTAACGTTGCGTCCAGACTACGGAGTTCTGTCGACAAAGCGGCTTGCTTTGTCGACAGAACTCCATGTGTCTGGACGCAAATTGTCGACGGAAGTTTTGTCGACAGTATCTGTCGACAAAACTTCCGTCGACAAAACGCGGTAGTCTAGACATACCCATAGAGTCTGTCCTTCACTTTTTTTTTTCATTAAAGCGGGTTCAACAGTGAGCCTTTTGCATGCTCCTCCAGCTTTTTGGCTAGCACAGACATGAAGGGGAAAATGTAATCGGGATGACACATTCAATGAGCAAATGCAGTCCACCCACTTGGACAGGACGCAATTAAATGAGTGGAGGAGAAGGCTGCGGCAGCAGATTTAAGTGGAGCATGAGGAGAGGGGAGCGTGCAGGAGAACGTTTTGAAGATCATGGCAAAGCTGATGACGTGCCTGGTAGACTCACAGGAGAGCCATCCAATCTAGAGATCCCCTCTGGCCCATGCTGACCCACATTTCTTCTTCATCAAGTTCCATAACCTTCTCTTCCAGGTACCCTAGAATGCAGAGGGAAGCGGGGAGTCAAGAGCAGCTGCGCACTCAACCTTCAGGGATGTGTTCCAAAACAAAAGGCTGTCACCTGTGTGATGGTTGAACTCGGGGATTGTAATACACCTTTTTCCCTTCTGTCCCCCCTCCTCCAAAGCTCTGAACATGCAGAGGCTGCCACAACACTGGGAATGTTGCTTTCTCTGAGGTCTGAACTAGTCAGTAGCCTGCAAAACCGTCCTTTTAAACATCCAAAAGCACATTCTTCCTCCATTCTTCACTTGCTCAGCCTGTAGTTGAACTGCTACTTGCTGTGGTCCAACCTGCCTGCATACGACTTTGTGAACCACAGAGCAAGGGGTAGGCTGGGTCTCCAAGGATCATTACTGGCATTTCAACACCTCTGATTGTAATTTTCTGGTTTGGGAAGAAAGTTCCATCGTGCATCTTTCTGAAGAGGCAGGAGTTCCTAAAGATGAGTGCATCATGCACTTTTACCAGCCATCCCATGCTGATGACAATGAAATGGTCTTGTGATCCACCATTGCTTGCTGCACCATCAAGAAGTACCCCTGGCAGTTTATATACTCTGACAAGGTAGTTGGGTGCCAAAATAGAGATGTGCGTTCCATCTATCACCCCACCATAGTTAGGGAACCCCATCACAGCAAAGTCCTCCACTATGTCCTCCACATTTTCCAGTGTCACTACCTTTCACAGCAGAAGGCTATTGACTACTTTGGCTACTTGGATCATACTGGCCTCCACTGTTGATTTCATCCCTCTGAATTGATTACCAACTGACCGGTAGCAGTTTGGCATTGCAAGCTTCCACAGGACTATTTCCACTTGCTTCCCTACTGGCAGAGTGGGTCTCATTCTGATATTGCTGTGCTTCAGAGTGGGAGAAAACGATTCCTAAAATTCCATGGTAGTGGCCTTACATAGTCAAAAGTTTTGCAGCCACTGCTGATGCCCCATAGTTGCATAATAGTGCAGTCCCACCAATCCCTGCTTGTCTCACAGCACCAGAACTGACATTCTACTGTGTCAAGAGGATCGAATGCAATCTACATTTGCCAATTGCTCAACTCAAGTGTTTCATACAAGTGTCTGTTCATGGCTGCCTCATATTCTTCCCAGCTCTGGCGGGCCCTGGATAGGTTCTAGTATACTGCAGCATAAGGCATGAGATGTTTGCAATGGCTGCCAGAGTACTTTGCTGCTGAACAGGGTCCAGGATTGCCCTGCTATGGTGTGTGCACGAAAAACCAGGGGAAAAAAGGTACAAGAAGATTGTTTTCCATTGCTTTCAAGCAGGGACAAAGGGGGGAGTAGATGAGTGCATTATGGGATACTGACGACATGTACTCGGCACTACCTGCTGCACTGTTTTGGTCCCATCTGGCACCAGGAGCCTAACCCAGAATGCACGGGAGTGGCAGGAATTGTGGTAGGGATGTAAGCTACTAGTCGACTATCCGATAAGCAAAAGCTTATCAGATAGTCAACTAGACCCTTGTAGTTCTAGTTGCTCCCCCCGCCTTGGGAGGAGCAGGAGCCGGTGCTGGGGGGAGACGGCTTAAAAGCCAGTTCCCCCCAGCATCATCTCTGCAAGGGGCAAGGGAATAGCGGGGACCAGGTGCAAGCTGGGAATCAGCTGATTCCTGGCTCATGCCCAGTCCCAGATGCTGCAACTCTGCTCTTTAAATGTATTAAGACCTTCTTGCCAGCTCTTAATACATTTAAAAGTCAGAAGTGCAACGGGGGGTACCCCATCCACTCTTAATAAATTTAAAAGGCTAAAAGCACAGCAGGGGGGACCCGATGTGAGCTCAGAATAAGTTGGCCTGGCTCATGCTGGGTCCCCACTACTGTGCACCAGCCA